ATGGACTAGGTTTCCTGCTAAATTCTACTCGAGAGGTACGATGGCGCAGGTGGGGAATGTCACCTCATTATATCTAGTATCAAACCCCAAATACTTTGTTAAGACTAAAAAAAATTACTGCTGCTATGTTTTTTGAATTACAATTTGACTGAAATGAGAAATAAAAATGTCTATTAGATTTCAACAATACTCATTGGAAATCACTCACAAATGAGTATGATTGTCCACCAAGGAATTCTGCGTCATTAGGCATGGACTCTGTGGGTACTTGTATGGCTGATGAGCCCAATCCTAGAGCTGCATCTCCGGCCAAACAATTGGCAGCTGTTTCTGGGAGGTAGTTGCTTTAGGTAGACACCTTGCGCAGGACATCTTTTAACGTGGAAAATCTGTTGCAACCAGCAAACACACAATCCTTAACAGAAAGTAGATCCAGTTCCAGTGGCAAGAAAATCTCGATGACTCGGGAATCTACCTACTGCTGCAGCTTTCATCGACCTTTTTAGCCGTTAACATCACGAGTATCTTCAGCCGGCTTCGTCATCAAGGCCTTATTTTGGATTGTACTTTGTCTAGTTCCTCCCTTCCAACGTTACCCTCATTGGTGACCCTGCCAGGAGTTGAGAACACCTGAAGGCATCATTCTTTGGATTAACTGAATACTCAAGCCTCTCCACCACCGCAAGGTGGCAATCCACGGAAAGATAGTTCCGTAAATAAATATTTTCATATTAACAATGTGTTTCCTTTCCTGACTACCACAGGCTCTGTATTCTAATTATAAAAGACAGTGCAAGCTGATATGAATCTGTTTTTTTGTTTCTGCTTCACATTTTGTGTGATGCTAGTTCTTCCAGCTTACATGTTTTTATAGAAAAATTTTATTGCTTGAAGAGATAAGACCAGTGTTTTTTCTGCTTGTATTCCCCTTGCCAACATTTTTGTTTGCAGAAGGTGTATTAAAATCAGGTTCTTAATTGCAGAAAGAACAGTCCTGTTACTGAGGACAACCAACATAAACTTTAAACTAAGCCCTGTTAACAACTTTACAGCATTGGCACTGAACAAAAGGACATTACTGTTTCTGCACTTCAACTCTAACAAAACAGCTTATGCCTCAGCATGAATCATTTGTTGCACAAGAGGAAATATCAGGTCAAATAAAGACAGGAAAATGCCAAAGTATTTAAAATGTTTGCAGAGTGGAATGAGTTGAATTCTGTGTTCTACAAATGTCACTGATTCATAAAAATATCACTATTTCGGTAAAAGTAGTGAGGACTTTAAACAGAAAATAAATGGTAGACCTTTCACATCACGTAAAATATGATTCAAAGAAAGCTTTATGGATGTTTCTGAGGATGAGATTGTCAATCACATGATTGACATTGACATTTCTTAATTTTACTTTATTTCTTATTGGTTCTATTCTTAGGTTCATTCTTTCTTTAATGTATTTTCATTTCCTTTTGACCCTACCTTTCCTTGGACTTAATAGATAGTTAATAAAGGAATGAAAGAAAACTATGATTTTTAATGCTTTAATTTCTCAGTTTTGCTGTCACAATTTTCTGTTGTCATTATTATCCTTACCTTCATTTCTATTTCAAAGTTTTCATACTTCAATTTTTGAATCCTTTTCCCAGGAGAACACTGAATCCTTTGGGTGCCAGGATCAGTTTGAAAAAAGGGGGGGTGGGGCAGAAAAAGGCCTGGAACGTCACCATTCAATGTTGCTCAGAATTCCGGGAAGTGGAGCGGATTTGGGTTTGCAATTGATGCAGGTCAGTGAAAGTCATGCCAATGAAACAGGAGAGGGTGACATTTCTATCTAGCAACATGGAGGGCCAGTAGGAAAATGTGCCCTTTAGCTTTCTTTTGACTTGCTTATCCCTTTACTGTGTTTTTTAAATCATTTCCTTTTTTCCTATTTATGCCTTTTCTTTCTAAATTGTTTGGCGGGTAAAAATTCTCCTTTTCTTCACCTTGCCTATTTTCTCCAAACTACATGGCTACCAATGCTAAAAACAGGTAGCCAGAGATTAGGACACAAGCATTTGAAAGCTCAGCGGTGGATGGTGAGTTTAATGGAGGATAGATATATAATTATCTGAAATTAGAAAAAGAGGGTGTTTGAGGGATTTAGGGTGAATGAAGTTACAGTGAAAAGGGTCGGGGGTGGGGGCGGGTGGGGAAGAGAGACTGCAGCGAGAGTTAGACACCACAGAGGAATTCCTGCACAGAAAAATACCATTCAGCACATCAGGTCTGTGCTGAAAAATACATCAGTCACCCTTTTCTATCATATTTCCAGTACTTTGCAGGTTACAGCACTTCAGATGTAGAACCAGATACCTTTTAAAAGAGTTGAGGATTTCTGCCTCTACCACTAAACTGGACAACAAACTGGGGGTAATCTTGTCCTAATGACCCCTCTACCCACTCACAAGGCAGTGTTGGAAATCAGCTGGACAGTAAAGTGCTTGCCACTGGTGATGGGGAGATGAGGGCCTTCAAAAAATCTGGTGACAGAATTATCTGTTATGCGTGTCATTCATTTAGGTTTGCTGTCATCCCAAAGTGAAATATGAATATCTGCGCAATGACTTCTTACCCTTTTGTCATATCAGTTTTAATCCTGGTCTTTCACCACACACAGGTCTTTCAAGTATGACACAAGATCTAGAGCATCCAGAGGCCTGAGCAGTCGACAGAAGAGGTCACATACTCAAAAGAAGCAGAATCACCTGACTGTGGGGGCAGGGGCAGAATTCTTATCTATATTTAAGGCTGAGATAGATAGACAGACAGACAGACAGCAGATTGACAGATAGATTCTTGATCAGTAGAAGAATTAAGAGTTATGGGGAAACAACAGAAGTGAACATGAGGAATGTTGGATCAGCCATGTTCCTATTGAATGGTAGAGCAGGCTCAAGGTACCAAATTGCCTACTCCTGTTCCTAACTCTTACAGCCTTATGGTCTCCTTCCAAACAGATCCTTCAGGAGAACATAACAAGCCGAGAGAAAGATGAGTATAAGACGTGAATAAGATGGTGGGATTTTAGACAGCTGGAATGATTTTTGTTGGGTTTAGGACGTTTGCAGCATTTGGCTTTACACACTCAGGTTCTTTTACCAGGCCCTGGATGATTCCATCAAGGGCTTCTCTGGCAGCCAGGTAAGTGACTGCATGCGCCCTGGCCACGTTACTATATTCTCCTCTGAGGAAGCAAAGCAATTATCAGCTTACTTCCTCTCTGCAATGGTGTACAAGGCACAGCAAACCACTACTGTTATTGTGGGGTACATAATGAAGGTGCCCATGATATGTCCAAGCAACTGGCCGCATCTTCAGAAACCCAATAGTTTACTCCATGTCCCTTCTTGTAGTCTTGTGGCTCTGGCTGCACAATTCTTTGGCATCAGTTGCAGTGCTTCTCACTGGTCTCATCAGTCAGATTCTTACAGAGTAGCCCCTATCTCCAAGGAGCCATCCACTGATTCTGTGGGATGGCTGAAGGAGATGTGACTGGAGCAGAATGAAAGCAACATAGCAGCTTCCAGTATATGTTGCACATATACTTCAAGTGGTCACATACCAGCTGAACACTGATGGAGTAGAATCTGTTATGATTAATAAAGACTGCTAGTTGATCTCAAGGTGCCTTTATTGCCACATTTCAGTTTATAACTCTTTGTGGCCATGGTAATTGAGCCAGTGCAGCAAAAGCAAAGTCTTATTTATCAATAGGAAAGTACACTCAACTGGGAGCACTGGTAAACATGCTATCAGCCATCTGTACGTTACAAATGTCAGCAGCTTCTTGGAAGTGGGGGGAAAGAGAGACAGAGAGCGAGCAAGACAGAGACAGCAAGAGAGAGACAGAGAGAAAGAGATTCAGGGCTTTGGTGACTTCACAGCCCCAGGCATTACACACCCACCTATTCCACTGGAAAGGTCTTCTTCCAGATGTTAGCAATGACCTGCCATGATAGTCTCATGAGGCACTGTTGCTCAGTCATGTCAAGAAAGTTAATCCCTTCCCTGTTTTGGAGGGTATTGCCTCCTTGAAGCTGGAACCCCTTGCTCATTTCCATTCTGCAGGGCAGAGGTAGAGTTCTAATGAGAAGACAGCTACTGCTTTTTGATGTGGTTGCCACTGTTCCTAGTATTTATTCTTATTGGTGTTGGTAGGGCAACTTCTCATTATTGAACGTCCAAGGTAAAGTGTGTAAATAGTCCTCAGGCAGCAGTGAAAGTTAACAGCTAGAAAGTACAGAACTTAAGATAGCAAAAATACCTTCCAAATGCTGGGAATCACATGTGAAAGCAGTGAAAACACATTCTACGAAGAAGTCCTGTGCTTAGGACAAACAGCTAGGTAAGGAAGCAGCTAAACACTTCCCTGTTTAAAGGCTTTCAAGCCTGTCAAATTTACAGAGCAACAAATCTTTGTAATTTCATGTTGCAGATGATGGCAAGTTTTAAGCAAGGAATGTGCACTAGCTGTTAAAATGAGAATACCAGATTAAAGCTAAAATCAATTTTCTCTTAACATTTTTAAATGATGGCCCTGGACATCTCTTTAGGGCTTTCCTACAAAATCTGGAAATGAGTGGGATCATTATTGATTTCTAATAGTGCGACATTTTTGGAGGATTTAATTCCACCCTGACTGCACCTAAACTGCCACTCCTTACCAGTTAAAATTCTGCCCTGCTTGTTTCAGTCAGAATTCTGCTAGCTGGTTGGTTAAAGTGCCATACTCCTGCTCTGCAGGCACCTTCCACAGATCCCTAATAGAAGGAGCCATACTGGCTCAGAAACCCAATGACAGTAATTTGCTGTTCTAAATATCACACAACAACTGGGGAGGTTGTTGGCACGATGAACCGCAAACATTATTCCTTTGCCACTTAACGCAAAATTCATCCAAGCATTTAAGACTGATTTAGTTCAGGGTGAAGGATGACCAATAAGTGGCTTAGTATTACCTGTAATGAAGTGGAATTAGTGACAGGGTTAAAGATGATAAGCTGAAGATCCATCCAAGCACTTTGACAACATTGAGGCAGAGGAGGGGGTCAAGAGAAGTTGAGAGGAGTTAGTGTCATTGGTGTACTTGAAGCTGACTGCACATTTGTGGATGGCATTAACAGGGAGAAACATGTAGATGAAGAGGAGGGACCCAGGTATTTATTGCTGGATAACTCTGAAGGTGGCAGTGTTAGGCCAGGAAGAGAATCGATCTCTGAGATGTTTAGGCTATGACACGTAAAAATAGAATCAAGTGTGTGATTATCCCACAGAGCTGGGAGACAATAAAAAAGTAAAAGCACAAGACAAAGAACAATTAAAGGCAAGAATCAATCAAATCTAAAAGCTTAAAAAACAGGATTGGTCATGAATTACAATGAAGAGGATATAAATGAAAATCCCTGTCAAAATAGCACTGCACATTTGTCAGGTTTTGATGGTCTGGACAGGAAGTGAATGCTATAAAACATGTGGTTGTAGGTGTAATAATATAATGTGCTGTGTAGGTGGAGCAATAACTTATTGTATAATATGTGAGACTCAAGGACAACAGTACATTAATCAGGAATCCAGTCACAAGCTGACCTGGTGTCTTCAGTTTTCAATGATTCCTGCACAATAATAATACCTGGTTTTGTGTTGCAAAATGCATTGGCATCATCTTAACAGCATCATCCTGTCAATCTTCTCTAATCAAGCAAAACAAAAGTAATAGCTGATAATATCAATTAGGTCAAAATAACCTCTGAGCTTACAATAATCTGAACTGTAATTAAAATCACTTTAAATTTCATAATATTTTTAACTGATTTATCGTAGATTCATATATTTCTGAATGCAGTGAACAGAACATTGCCCACATACTGGTACTTTGGCCATGGTGGTGATGGTAATGGTGGTGGTGGTGAAGAGGGCTGATGTCAGGGAGTTTTACTCCCAATTACATTCCAACACAAAGCTGAATTCATTAGATTTCTGCTGGTTCATGACACAATGAGGCCCAAGCGATTTTAACTTTTGCGTTTTATTAACATGCCTCCCATTGACTGTATGTAATTCAGTGTGATTAGTCTGTTAACATTTCCTACACATGCAACTTGAGGTGTCCTTCAATTTAACAAATATACATTAAGAACTGGAAATACTTCATTGCATAGAAAAGTATCAACTGGAAAGAATTTGGAGCATGGTGAAATTAAACAGGACCTTTTCACGCCTTTCATTTTTGTTAGATACATGATTAGGTTTCTTCTGACACCATGAATACTTGTGCTCCAGAACTAGCAATAACCCTAGGTAAACTTCAGGTATAACTACAGCACTGGCATCTATCCAGCAATGTGGACAATTTCCCAGATATATAAAAAAAGCAGCCCAAACTCAAACAAACCAATTATCATCCATCAGTTTATTCTTGATCATTAGCAATGTGATGCAATAAGTCATTAATAGTGCTACCAACTAGAACATTGGTCTAAACATGGATGAAAGATCTTAAGAGGTGAGGTGAGAATGACTGCCCTTAATGTCAAGATAGTATCTAACCAAGTTTGGCATTAAGGAACCCATCCAGGATGCAATTATGATGGCATGAGTACCTGCAGTTTTATGTTATTCGGATGTCCTCCCTTGACCATACATATGCCAGTGGGGTTATTGTTGCAGGTCATTAACAGAGACAATCTTAGGCGGAACAGTTCTTCATAGAACATTAACACTGCATTCTCCAAATATGAAGCTTAAATGTACATAAATGGGAAACAGACTGACCTATTTTCTCAGTAGCATTAAGGTAAAGGGGTGGGGAATGTGGGGAATCATCTGCTCAATGATCTTCTCCAATGTAATGTAAATGGTAATCACTGAGGCAGAGTTACCTCAATGGTTGTCACTACTTGCTGTCTAACCACACTGGATAGGGAAGTCTTAACACAGCGCAGTGGCTTAACCAGATATTGACTGAATTAAACAACTGAGTATAAATCCAGTTTTGCAAATCAGCTGTCCATTAAATAATCTGCCCAAGTTCCATTCCCAGCGATGGGTGGAACTGTAACCTCAAAAACCTGACACACTTGGATTGAAGAGGGCAAGGGGCTCTTAAAATCTACCTCCAACATGGCTAATTCCAACTTTAATGAAGGTTGAAAGTTGGGAGGCTGATCTCTATTTTTGATAAATGATATAAGCCTCATTGCTATTCCACTTTCAAAGTTAAATGTTGATGGGCTGGTTTTCTGACCTCTAGAAACCCCGCAGCTACATTCAGTCACAGATTGCTGGATCCAGGAGGTAAGTGTCGTAACAATAAGATGCTATATCCATAGTGGCTACCTGGGCAACTTCCTCGTCTTAGCAACATTCCTCACAATCTTCCCCATGAGACCTCTGGTTCCTCCACTCCATCAACGATTCCTGCTTTGCACCCCCAGACCTTCAACTGCCTCCTCCTCTCATTTCAGGAACAGCTTCTTCACCGCTGTTATTAGACTTCTGAATGGACGTATCAAAATTT